ATCGCATGTATGCGATTCAAAATCAAATCTTTTTACTTTTCAGTGAAAAGAGATAATCACTAAATTTGATCATTAGCATATTCAATGTACTCTTAATTAACTTATTACATATGTTTTATGTTAGAAGAACGTGATAACTTATTTTCAACAGACAGTGCAAACGAACAGGATTAACATTAAATAATGGTAATGGAGATGATGACCTCCAACTGCATTAATTAAACTCTTACTGTTTGCAACCTAAATGCAGGAAGGTGACCAGGGCCACGGCCTGGATTGAACAGTGCAGCAATCGCGACCTGGTACGATCAAACTTTTCCACAACATAACCATGATAGTACTGGAATGTATTGCTAATACTGTATATATGAATGAATATTTGATAGATTTCCCTTTTGTTTTCTCTTTCCAGGTACCACGGAACACCAGCCTTATTATAGATAAAATTTCAATTTTGATCCCTTGATGTTGGTATAGATTCCTGATTTAATTCATAAATAAAATAAATTAATGTTTTGGATAATTAGAAAGTTTTAAATTTTGGCCTTTTTTTAGTCATTTGCTGTGAGGGACCAATAACAATACCGCTGTCTGGTAGACAACGAACATCTAACCTTAAGATGAATGGCTGATTGGAATAATCCCACCTCTCCTAACTACCTTTGTTCCTAACAAATGATATCATAATTGGCATTGTATTAAATATGCTACCATAAGAATTAATGCACATCTATGAGCCTTCATGACGTTACCATATATTATAACGGTTGAAGATTAATAAAGTAAATTTACCATATAAAAAGTAACCTTGGAGGGTTATAAATATACTTCCAATCATTACATCTTAGGTAGATTTATCACACTCTTTTTTTGAAATGCTTACATGGGTATAGTGACGGAACACAACACAATTTCAAAATCGATCAGTTTGAAATTGTTTAGAGTCCCATATATATCTTACAATTTATGCACACGAGATCAATGTGGATTTATCACACTCTTGGTTCGTACAGTGGAATAGTCTACCTAGTTTGCATGGTAATATATATAATCTTCGCCTACTAAAATCTCCTATACGTGATTTTAGCATTATAGTGTTTATCCCAAAATATAATCTTAAGTCTTACCGGTATTCTAATAGAAGTTATCATCATAACTATACTGTTATGCCGTTCTTCACCTGAATTATTTCGTGCAATTATATTCTCTTAAATTTAACTTACATGGCATGTTAATTCACATCAAAAATTGTTTTATTCAGGCTTTTCTTGGTTTTTTGGCTATCTTGTTTTATTCAGTTTGATTCCTAAAAATTTTGTAGAAGTTATACCAAATAATAACTAAATTATAAGTAAGTTGTTTCACCGATTACTATGCCAAATCTAGCCCATCTTTAGTCCAAGACCAATCATTTTCGCACTTGATCTTTTAAGTCGAGTGATTTTCGATCACGTTGTAATGCACTCCTTCTTTTTTTTAGATGGGTTAAAGCCCACACCATGATACATTGTTAAGAAAAAAAAAAAAACACACCAATCCTTC